TATATATATATATTCTAGTTACAAATTTTGTATAGTTCCTTTACAAGCTCTCTTAAGTTTGCCTAAATTAATTGAAAATATTGGAACGTAACAAGTGATAAATTCTCTCTAATTCTTATCAAAGTTGAGTACCCTTTTTTGTGCATCTTCTACACTCATTTATACTTGCTCAAACTACAGAAGTCACTTGGACTTTTCTTATCTTAAATAGGTGTTTTTCAACAGTTTTTTTTCTTATCCAAATACTCTTTAAACGCCATTGTTAAATTTTGCAGGACTTCATTCGTGAGATAGATCCAGATATTTTAATTGGATACAACATCTGTAAATTTGATCTGCCTTATTTGATCGAGGTACATACTTTCCTTTCCAAATATTTTCAAAGCCTCCATTACGTTAATCGTACCTTTATAGCTTTAGCTTTATCTTTTTTATATGTAACATGTAATGATCAAACAGAGAGCCGAAGCACTCAAGATAGCAGGATTTCCAATTCTTGGCCGTGTGAGAAATAGTCGGGTTCGGATTCGGGATACTACTTTCTCTTCAAGGTTGCTTCTTGTGTCATATTACTGCAAAATATTTGAGCTATCTATATCTGAAAGGTTTTTGTTTTTTTACCGTTTTCTGTGCTGCTTATATACTTTCAACTCATGTCCTATTCTGATTGTTTTTATTTAATGAATTACATGATTAATTGATGTCTCCTTTTATCAGGTGTAAATTTTTCGATGATTAGTCCTTATTTGTTAAATATCGAAATCCATCGTCCTTCAATCCATGCTGTCTACTTTTAGAGATGTGAATTTGAAAAAGAAATGTTTGTTTCCTGGAAAAATAGTTTGTTCGTCAGACGCTAGTATTTTTCAAGTCTTTGAAAGAATTTGAAGGGGTGGTGACAATAAGTTCCATGAGTGGTTTGTTGCTTTCTTCCCATACTAGTAAATTGAGAGTGTTTATCAACGTGAACTAGCTTATTGATTCCATTTATTGTTGCAGCAAGTTACTAAAATTGATGAGTTGGTTCATTCGTTATGGGGAATAAAGCAAGTCCAGGTTTTGTAACTGAGTTGTTTGTATCTATGATTTCAGTAAAGTCAATTGCCACTCTATGTAGATATGAAAGGATGAAGAGTTCACATATATTTGGATGGGGTAATGTACCATTTGAGAGCTTTATATTTAGTGCAAGGATGAATGATGATTAGGCTACCTTTATAGTGATATAATAACCTTTCTACAGTGCAGAAGTTTGTTTATTCAAACTTCTCAAATCCTAACCTTTCTACAATGCAGAAGTGTTGTTTACGTATAAACCAGTCAAATTCTACAGTGCCTGGAAGCTTTTATGTTGGTAATTCCCAATTTTAGTTTATGTTAAATCAACATGTCTCTATTCCTTGGGAAGTGATTCTTGCTTTATGTGAGATCCATTATTCCTTCTATCAAATAAGGATATCGAAACATCAATGCATTAGCAGAATTAGTGCTTGTATATCTACTTTATAAGCTATTGTCAGCTTTTGTCACACATTTTGTTTAGTTCATATTTATACTGCATCAAGTATATTTACTTGGCACAGTTCACACTGATGCAGACAGTATGGCATTCGAGAAAGCAAAGACATAACTGTTGAAGGAAGAGTTCAATTTGATCTTCTTCAGGTCACTTCTGTTGATCTTGTTCTGGATCTTGCTGATTCAGAAATGGTGAATTTTATTTGACTAGCTTAATTCTGCATTTATCCATACAGGCAATGCAAAGGGATTATAAACTTAGTTCTTACTCTTTGAATTCTGTTTCTGCACACTTCCTTGGCGAGCAAGTAAGTTTTCTTATATCCTTGATCTGGAAACTTGTGTGATGTCATGTAGTACAAGGCAGTTTGCTTTAATGGCAGTTATTTTGTTATGTTTTTTTTTTTAATTTGTAAGCTTATAATGGAACATCAAATAATAGATACCAGGATAGCCATTTTCTTGAGCCTAATGCCTTACGATTTTGTGCTCCTTTCTGGATTATCTGCTGGCATTTCAGTGTTGGTTATATATATATATATATATATTTATTAAAATTACAGATTACACGTGCAATGTGGAAACTATTTACTAGCTATTGTCCCATCACTACTACTACAACAAAAACAAGCCTTTTATCCCAACAAGTGGGGATTGTCATGATTTTTCGAAAAAAAAAATATGTTGGCTGTCGATAACCGAACACGACTCTCCACTTTTTGCATGCTGGGCTTGAACCCAAGTAATGACAGTGTTTTCTGACTTTTTTTTTCCCCTCGAGTGTCTACTTTGGATAAATATTCATATACATATATATGAATATCCAATGCTATTTTCTGCAAAGCAGTGCCACAGTAGTGTGTTACTTTGCCTACAACTACAAGAATATACCCTCATCCTCTTTGTCCACACATTATGTCATTCCCTATTTTGACCTGTTTAGATAAAAAAGGTGCACATAACAAAGACGCTCAATCCATTTAGACACATTTTTCATTAACAGTCGTTCTGATTTTGCTAATTAGGATTGAGTGAGTAGGAATTTAGTATGCTTAGGTTGTCATAGAACATAACTTTCATTTCATGTTCATCCAATTGGATTTTTTGTTGTTATTAATACGGAAGCATGCACACTTAAAATTATTAAAATGTATTGCAGAGCTTTAGTAAACTTCATTGAAGTTTCCACTTATCAAAAGTTTTTAATTTATATTATCAACATGTTTTCACTGTTAATCATTTATTATTGGCCCCTTAATTCATGGTTGAACTTTAGCTTAACAAACTTTAGAAGAAATAGTTAGGAATCTTTTTCAGGCCTTTATTGAGGCTATTTCAGTATGTATTTTCGCCTCCTCATGCATATGTTATCATTATTTGCTAATATCTCCCACATAGTAAAACCTTTTAAGATTTCATTTCTTTTTAATTTCATCATAAACCTTACATTTTTAAAGTAGTTAACATTTTTATGCACTTGTTATTGATCAATTTGCATTAACATTCGTTAAGATGAAATATGTTATGTATAAGCCTACATAGTGGTATTTTACTCTGCGCCATATTATGAAATAATCTTAAGGCTTGTATGATATAAATATCTTTTCGTTAGTTTTTTTTAAACATGCACTTTATTAAAAATACAATAATTTTATTGGTAACATTAGGTGCTAATGATATGCATAATATGAAGAAATTTTATAAGTATTTGACCAACAATTCATATATTTTTTGTATTAGAGATCAAATTTTTTACCAATGTTGTAGGAGTTTCATTGTGATGGATTGTCTTGTTTCTATTTCGCTTGGATCTTATTTGTTTTAAACAACGTTATAAAAATATAAATTTCCTCAATTCAATACAATATTTTAAATCAAAACTAAAATATAATTCAATCAACTCAAAATAACAATTTTACCTTCAATGAGCTCCTTCCTCATTCAAGTTTTTGAGCCTAAAATCACAAAAAAATTAATTTCTTAACATTCTCTTAGCTTTCCTTTTTTCTTTCTTTTCCTCTTATTCTCCACTACCTTTTTTTTCCCTCTCTTTCTTTTTCTCATTCTGTCTTATCTTCTTTTTCTTTTCTACTTACTCCTTACTCCTTACTCTCTCTCCTTCTCCTCCTTTTTTCTTTCCCACTTCGTCACTCATCCCATCTTTTCTCCTGTCTGCTAGGCTCTAGTCTACAGTAGGTTTGTTAGTTGGAATATATAAAGGGATAGGCAATGGATACAGGTAGGGATGAATTGAGTGGATAAGGTTTATAGAAATGGGCATTCACATATGACTTTGACCTCAATTCCATTCTAGCTAGCGAACTTACTCCACTGCCAATACTTGCTACAGTATTAGTTGAACATACGAGCATTAATTTTAATACAAACTTTGTGAAAATGGTTCCATTGAGAATGAATTAATCATAATCAATACATTTAATTTTTTTTATAAATACTTAAATATATCAAATTGAGATATTGATTTTTATAAAAATATCTTTGGTCATTTTTAGGAGGGAAAATTTGATGATATTTTTTTTTCTCATTTAAAGTTTTGGATATTTTACATTAAAGTGTGCATTTGCATACATTCCACACAGTTCCTATTTTCTACAATTCTAACACCTATTTCTTTTTTTTTAATATTCATAACACATTTTTAATATCATATAAAATTGCCAATATTAAATGTAAAAATCAAAATGTAGGTGTTAAATATGTAAATACACATGAATTTTATAATACACATGTATATCATCGTAAGAAAGCATCTCTTTCTCTCTTACTATATTGAAAGAGATGTGTCATGACCCCATCCGGGGCTTGGAATTAACTAAGGCGGGATTGAACGGTCAGACAGTGGAATTAAATTTTGTATTTTATTGTTCTATTATTATTATAGATAGTTTAATCTCCATATATTAATTGGAGCCACTAAAGAAAGCAATTAAATTGTAAATTTACGGAATAAAAAAAATTATCTTTCAAGTTGTTGACATCATTTTATGTAATATCTAGTATTTGTCTTTTATGTAAAGATTAACCCTGAAAAATATTAAAACAAGATGATGAGTTGTCTCAGATAATCTAGCGGAGTAATCACATTTTTAAATTATAATAACCCAAGAGAAGAAAGATATTATGCATGTTGATCTTTTATATGTCAATAATAAAAATTTTATAATAATCTAATGTACGTTTCTATGACATTTTTTCAATGAAAATAACCTATAGTTCGATATACACTAACTTTAAGTTTACTCAATGTTTAATCTTTAACTTTACTTTTATGTTTTGCTCTTAACATTCACATCTTTCTCAGGAACTTCATCAAACATTACCTAAAACGATACTGACCAATATTATCACGTCTTCAAAGCGGTTCATGATCTAATTTACACGATTGTATGAAGTGAAAAGATGTTTACTCACCCTAGATCGATACTCTCCCATTTACATGACTGTTAGTGATAAATTACATGGTGATTAAGTGATAAGATGCCTACTTATCACTGGCCGATACTCTTCTATCGACACAATGATTAGTGGAGTTTCATAATCGTCTGAGATGGTAGGAAAAACATTTTCACGCACGGTTGTTTGGCGTCACCAATTAGTACCATAAGTGGGTGAACTCTTGTTAACATGCACATATAAATATTCACACAGACACACACACAAACTATTTTCATTTTTCATATGTATTTTTTTTTATGAGCACTTATATTCATCTATTGATGAGTCAATGCATTTTTATTGGAGTGAAAAAGACATGTAATGATCTAATTTCATAGATAAATTATTATGCAACCATTTTATGTAGGACTCTTAACACGCATACTTCTAAACATCATGTAATAATATGTTATATGCATTTCTACTAGAATCTAAGGTTATGTGATAATCTAATCTACGCACCTTTACTGGAATTCTAAAGATTAGGTAATAAATATATACATTTGGTTATGCAATAAACTGAAATTACATATTTACTAGAACATAAGCGTCATGCACTAATTTCATGTTTTCCTAAAATAAACTATTATGCATCTATTAAGGCAACAATATTTAACATGCATGGTTCATGACTTACGATATAAAAAATATATTTGATTTAATTTCAATTATATGAAGCATAACAGTGAAAATCTATCAGTAGGAATATATTTGAAAAAATAAATATTACTTTCTCACTTATAGCTCAAAAAAATTCTCTTTTTCTTTAATTTGATTGCTCGTATAATCTTAATGACATTTTAATTCATTAGATATTAGTTTTAACTTATACATTTCAAATTAACCTAAATAAAAACACCAAAATCTATTTTATTCCTTTTCTTTCTTCTTCTGTTAAAGGCAACAATTTCGGTACTCAAATCTTAGGGAGCAAGAGTTCTTCAATTTAAGATTTCTATTATAAATCAATATAAACTAATATTAATTTTTATAATATTAATTTAAATTAAATAATAATATAAAAATAAAGTTACACTAACTTTACCTTAGTTCTTAGTTAATTGGCTCGACGCAACTTAATCTGCCATAAGAGTACTCAACTTGGATGAGTTCCTGCATGAGCCCTCTCCTCCTCCCACTTATTGTGCTTGAACTCCTCTCCTACCGCACAAAAGCTACTTCTATCTTCCTTGCACGAGATGCCTTCTTTCCACAAGCACACACAAAGCTTCGTAGGCTCATCGTCCTCTCCTGCTCATGGCTCATGACATCGAGCATGCAAAGAAGCAAGGCTCACTTGGGCTTCGACTTTGACAATAGGTTACCCGCACCAAACCTTCTCCCTTCTTTCTTCGCACAAGACAAAATTACAACTCTTATAATTTATTTGAATTTTTAGATTCTTCTCCCTAGCATCTCTCTCGTAGACAAATCCTTGGACTTTCGCAACAACATTGTTCTTTCGTCAAGAGAAGAAGAGAAGCACACGGTTTCTACTTCTTCTCTCATTCTCTCTAATTGCTTCGGATGGGAATGCTCGACTCATTTTATCCAAATAGTTGAGACAGTTATGCTCAAATCGATCAAGCCTATTAAGATTTATTTTCTTATATTTCATTTTATTATATTGTTTCAGTCATCCCCTCTAGTCTGGGGTTTGATTCCCCCCAAGCGTCGGGTGTGGTACTAGAATTCTTAGGCGCATGAGGGATGACCGGGGCTCGTATAATATCCTCCGGCCATTTTCTTAAAATAATATATATATATATATAATATATATATATATATATATATATTACGGGTATTGCAAGTTGCATGGCTCATTTCGGCCTTAATGAGTCATCACATGCGGAGCTCTAAACTCAATGGTTTAATTGACCATTCACTCTTTGCCATCTCTCTCTCTCTCTGATTATGGCTTATGCAGTTTCAAGGTTTTATTTTTAGACCTTAATCATTGATAGTATTTAATTTATTGCTTCATGCATCTATTTTTTGTGCTTAAATATGTGGAGTGATGGCAAGGCAGACTAGCATTTTCAAAGCAAAATGCAAGTCACAAGTGATCTTTTTTTTATTTTTATTGCACAAATAGCAATGCAAAATGGTGTTTTGATTATGTAGAACGTCGTGTGTTTGTGTGCTTTTATTATGTGCATATGATGTGCATATTATTCAAATTCAAATCGCATGAAGTAAAAAAATTGTACTCTTCAGTAAATATGATGATAAAATATAAATACTTTAAGAAATGTCCTAAAATTTGATATGAAATTATTAAGAAATGTGATGTTCATAAAGGAGGCCTTAAAAAGTAAATTTGTAAATTAAAATTTCTAAAAATTCAATTATACTTGGAAATTAACATAAGTGGAAATATAGTGCAATAGTTTGGTGTAGGAGCATCAAAGATTACATGACACATTTAAAAATGTTTATTTAAATTTGAAAAAAGTTGTAAAACAATAACAACAACAACAAAGCCTTAATCCCACTACGAGGGGTCGGCTACATGAATCCTTTTTCTCCATTGCGTTTTATTTAGTGTCATATTTTCATTTAGTTCTAGTAAATTAAGATCATTTTTTATACAATAAGCCCAAGTCTTCCTTCCTAGGTCTCTTTTTTAACACAAGTCGAATCTAAAACATCTACTCTCCTAATCGGATCATCAGATGGTCGACGTTTAATGTGACCAAACCTTATAAGATGACTTTCTCTAATTTTGTCCATCACAGGAGCTACACCAACCCTATCACGGATATATTCATTTCGCATTTTGTCTCTAAGTGTAAAGCCACTCATCCACCTAATCATTCTCATCTCGGCAACACTTAACTTATTATTATGCTTCTCTTTTAAAGGCCAACATTCAGCGCCATAGAGTATTGCAGGTCTCACCACTATCTTATTAAATTTTCCTTTCAGTCTAAGCGGTGCTTTTCTATCACACAAAAGGCCCGAAGCATTCCTCCACTTCAAAGTTGTAAAAGCTAAAGTTAAATGCATAAAATCTTGAGTGTCAAGGCAGCTCAAGGAAAATTTTTAACGTTCATCTTCTCTTTCATTCTCTTAATCTCTTTTTACTTCAGTAGATTTTTTTTTTCATTTTTAGAACCTTCTTTTTTGGGTGGGGTAATTTCATCCTCTTTTAAGTAATAGCAAAGTAAATCCAGATCAAGATGAATTAGCTCTTATTGTGGATGAACTTCTTCATATTTTTTACCTTAAATCTTACAGAAAGAGGACGTCCACCATTCAATAATATCTGACCTTCAGAATGGGAACTCGGAGACAAGAAGGCGGCTTGCTGTATATTGCCTGAAGGTACGTCATAGTTTTCTAACATTGTTCTTATAAAAATATCACAAAAGTTCCTTACCCATATTTATTTCAGAAGATTTCCTTTTAGTATTGTTTTCAGTTCCTTGCTTTTGATTATGCTGATATGCATACCAAGGTTAGCAAGAAAATTACGAAATTAAAATAAAATGGGGTTTAACCTCCAAATATAAAAGCCTAGCAAGAAAAATGGGTACAAGAAAGATAAAAATTGTGGGAAGGACCTGAATAAAATATACTTAAAGTCATACTCATATAAATTCCACATGAATGGCTTGTGAAGAGTACCAAAAATTGTCTCCAAATAGTTGACAGATAAAGCTGATGATAAAAATGAGTCTGATTTGAAGATCATTTTTAAAAGCTAGGTTTCTCTGATAGTCCTAACTTATGTCCTAATTAAAGTTTAGGTCTCTCAAGCCTATCATTTTAAGATGTATTTCACGTGCTGTGAGAGATCAGACTGACTTATAATGAAACAATTATGACATCTAATACAGTGTGTTATTATGGTTTACAACACTTTCTGACCTTTGTTTCCTAAAAAACTTGCTGTTTTCATCATATAGGATGCTTACCTTCCACAACGGCTTTTAGACAAATTAATGTATATTTACAACTATGTGGAGATGGCACGAGTTACTGGAGTTCCTATTTCCTTCCTTCTAGCCAGAGGGCAGAGCATTAAGGTGCTGTTGTTGAAATTTAGTTGGGTGATTTGTTTGTTATGTGAGAATTGACACACACTGGCTTAAAAGGGTTTCCCCAGGTTCTTTCACAACTACTGAGGAAAGCCAAACAGAAGAATCTTGTTATTCCAAATATCAAAGGGCAGGGGTCAGGGCAAGAAACTTTTGAGGGAGCAACTGTAAGAGCAAATAAAACTTTTGTTTTGTATTTTAGGCTTAAGTAAATTTCCCTAAGATTCAAGCATTTGAGAAATTTAAACGAAAATTGTTGGATGAGTACATTCTCAACCCGCTTTAACATTACTGCGAGGCGGCTTCTATCATACTGCATTTGTTTTTATATATGATTTTGTAGGTTTTGGAGGCAAAAACTGGGTTTTATGAAAAGCCAATCGCTACTCTAGATTTTGCTTCCTTGTATCCATCCATCATGATGGCCTACAATCTATGCTACTGCACTTTGGTTAGAACAAACTTCATCCTTAGTTTTAAAACTAGATATTACTGAAACAATTTCTTTTTGAAGTTTTTGGCAATCGCAATGTAATTGTACTAAGTTAAATAGAATTTTATTGATTTTGTTCTTTTTTTCCACCTCAAGTTGACGCCGGAAAATGCCCGACAGATGAACTTACCAGCAGAAAGTATTAACAAGACTCCATCCGGTGATACTTTTGTTAAATCTGAACTGCAAAAGGTACACTGCTATTATTTGGCATGTCTTTTGGAGGTGTTGACACTTGGTGTACTTTTACCATATGGTTTTTTATTTCTTTGTAGGGCATCCTTCCAGAAATTCTTGAAGAATTGTTGACTGCTCGTAAAAGAGCAAAAGCAGACTTAAAAGTAATTTGAATTTTTGTGCATTTATAAATTATTTGACTAATGTTAATTAAATTTTTTTAATATATTTTGTGGTTATGTTGTCTTCTCACTAGTATTATGTGAGAATATATTTGCTGTTTCTACCATAATCTTTTGATTCTCAGGAAGCAAAAGACCCATTTGAGAAGGCTGTACTGGATGGCCGCCAGCTAGCATTGAAGGTAAACTTTTCTTCTCTTGGTTTCTGCAAAGACATTTCCAGTTCAGACTAAGAGCACTCTAGAATATTTATTTCTGCAGATTAGTGCGAATTCTGTTTATGGTTTTACTGGTGCTACCGTTGGGCAGTTACCCTGTTTAGAGATATCTTCCAGTGTGACAAGCTATGGTACAGATACTCTTTAAATTTTTCATTTTTAAAATTAGAAGTCGCGAGCGACTTGCTTAGTCTATATTCTCATTTGTTTTTCACATCTCAAGGTCGACAAATGATTGAGCACACAAAGAAGCTCGTGGAAGAAAGATTTACGACACTAGCTGATTATGAATATAATGCAGAGGTGCGTAAAAAATTCTCCATAGAAAAAACTTTTTTGTGTTGAAATTCATTTTAAAAGAATAAACTATATAATCTGGATCTATAATGTGGTTTGTTCTGCATCAAACTAAGAAAATACTACATTGAATCATATGAACTCTATCACTAAGCTTTTTTGGCGAGATTTATAGCTTTAGTTTCAAGAGAGAATTTATAGTCTGTAAAAAGGTTTAATGGAGGTGAATGTTTTGATTAATTTTTACTCGTGACTGCCTTTTTAGAATGGTTTCTGAACTCCAAATATGAGAAAATTGGTGCAAATTCAAATCGCTTTTGCAAGAAATTAAAACTATGAATAGTTTAAAACCTCAAATCCTTTCCTTTTTGAAGAAGATAGAATCATATGGAGAAGGGAGGTTATAAAATTTTTTATCTAGTTTTTTCGATTGTTTTAAATCTTTTCCCTGAAGAAAAAATCTGAATTGTCACCAACCTTTCTTGTAACGGGCGATGAACTTTGTTAATAGAGAATACTGTACTACGTGGCACAAAGGTTGCTTGAAGTCTTGGTGCATCTAGCATAGTGTTGCACAAGTCATTTAAAAAAATTGCAATTCATAAAATCTGGAATAATTTATTAATTACTCGTTTTGTAATAGAAAAGCTTCTTTAAAAATATATATTCTCAAATTAGTGGAACATAATTTGTGTACTTTAACAAGCATGCATTTAACACGAGATAATTAGATTGAAAATAAATTATTGTGGCAAAAACGGCAATTGGACAGACATTTGAAATTATCATGGTTATACCAATGCGTTAGTATCAGAACCAAATGCAAAATATTGGAGATTATGTGTTCATAAAGAAAGATGGCCAATATTTTATAGATATTTCTTATGTTTTGTTTACAACCCAATATTCAAGTTCAAATACTAAACTACTCACCTTAAATTATAAGCCAAAATAGCCCCATCTTTTTTTTTTCTTTATCATTCTCCGTATGGTACTCTTCTACATATTTTGGTATTCTTTCACCAAAATATCTTAATCAATGAGAAACTATTATGTGCTATAGCCCTTTTATTGTGAATAGCTTGCACCATCAGATTGCTTGCACCTTGAAACCATAAAGCACCTAAAGCACATTAGTTATGCATTGTTGTGAAATTGAGCTATAACACATCATTTAAGTTAGTGACAGGTTGGTACTTCAATGCCTCGCCTAAGGACAATTTTGTCTTTTATTGGTTTAAGAGTAAATAAGGCTTAATAGTTTATGGTCAGGGCTATGCATGAGATTGTGTCTCAAGTCATAGTGTTAGGGTTTGAGAGAGATTTCCTACCTCTCGAACTGTACGAATTAGGAGAGATCGTCCGCCTCTCAAATTGTAAGTGTTTATCATTTATATTATATGTTCGTGGTTTTATTCTTTTCTTTGAAGAGATAAAATATTTATTTTGCTCTAATTTCCATAGAGAATCCTATGGAATTGGTATCAAAGCATTTGAGATTTGGGAAGTCGACTGATCTCTGCATGCTAGTTTGTAAGGATGCAAAACAGTAGCGATTCAACTTGCCTACAGGATCAGACACTGACTGGGAGAGGAATAGCGGCTTACGCTCAAAAGGGCGATGAGATCGCATACACGACATCATCACAGGTGATATATGGGCCTTCGTGACTGCATTTCGCGATACAGTCGTGATTTGCACTAGCTGGGAAAATGACGATGATATTGCATTCAAGCGTGATGTCCAATACTGTCGCGGGAATAACTAGTTGGGACGCAAACATGGGGATCATAGCGTACTGACACTTTTACAGTCGCCATTTTTTTATGGCTTGGAAACAAACAACAAGCGCATGGGTACAAACTGCAGGAAAGTTGAAGGGTCGCGGTGTACGGGAGATTTGCGCCGTTCTTGATCGAAACTGCGATTGGGATCGCGACGTAATTGAGTTCCGCGTCACTTATGATTGAGAGACGTAATCAGGATTTGTGACCTACAAGAATTAGGATAGCGACTTTCAGAGTTCGGCTTCCAATAGTTCCACCAAACAGAGTAAAGAAATTTTTGGATTGCGGCATCCATAGTTACGTGCATGTCGAATCCGCGTTCATAAATTATGATCATCGTGATTTCAGCTTAAAGGAGGTCTGAAATCGTGCAAGGAGTAATGAGGTCCAAAAAAAAAATTGATTTGGAGAATAAACTTTGAAGGAGGTGTGAGCCAAATTAGGTTGGGATGGAGGAGCATTTCTCGTCCATGGAGGGGAGATTCATTATCTCGGAAGAAATGTTGAAGATCACGAAGTCCCACACAAAACACACCTGCTATAGTGGGACCGAGCGAAGGAATTAAAAGTAGACTCGAACGACAACACTTAGAAGGAATAACATGACATTTAGATGGCTGGAACGAGCAACAACAAGCGGAATGAGACACCGTGTGATTCAGGGTTGAAGATCTATTTGGTGGATTTTGGCCCGGAACAAGAATCACAGTGGGTTGGACCTCGGCCAAGGGTTGCATCAGACAACATTAGGGCTTTTTGCTACAAATAGGGGTGTAAGTAAGTCAAGCTGACTCGTGAGTTAGCTCTAGATCGGCTCGATCAGTGGCTCATGAAATGAACTCGAACTCGAGCTAACAAGCAGAGCTCAAACGAGCACTGACTCAACTTGTTGGCTCGTGAGCAGGCTTGTTTAAAAAAAACATTAATATAAAATATACTTGAAATATATTAAATTTTATGCTTTTATCTTTAAAGTACTAAAAATGTTTTGGAAATAATATTTTATATTTTATTTTAAGTGATTTCTTATCGTTTCTCTTCTAATTGTTTGCTCTATTTATCATTTATTATAACACCACATTTAATTAATATTATTTTATCTTTTTTGTAATAAACAATGTGCCGACTCTAACTTATAGACTTAAACTCATACTCGAATTTGAACTCGATAATATTAATCAAGCTCAAGCCGAGGGTGGCTTGAGCTCGAGCTCGACTCGTTTACATCTTTAGTTATAACAACTTTTCAAGCGCAAGGAGATTCAGGAGCCTATGAGGAAGGGCGAGCTGATTATGGGGTGAGTCAGACATATAATCAATATGGGTGGAGGAGGAGAACTCAGCCCCTGCTTTATAGGTGGAATGAATTTCAGTCAAAAAAATTGGCAAAATATTCTCACATAAGGAGATTGGAGATGCCAATATTTTAATGAGAGGATGCCTATGATTGAGTTTATCATGTTGAGAGATATTTTGTTGTTAATGGGCTATGGAAGGAAGAAAAATTGATGGCGGCGGCTCTGTGTTTGTAAGGAAAAGCTCTGATATGATATCAATGGAGAGAACAACAACAGTCAATCTAAACATGAGAAGAATTCAAGCACCGATTATTGGAGCACATCAGAACCACACAAGAAAGGGATTTGCACGAGCTGTTTTTTGTATTGGTCCAGGAAGGAGTATAGGGAGAAATTTGCAATGCTATCCTGTCTTTTGAAAGGGACATTAGAAGAAGTGTTGGAAGACAACTTCATGAAAGTGTTGAAGCCAGATATTCGAGCTTCACTTCGCCTATTAAAACTGTGAGTATTGAGAGAAACTATGAAATTAACGCAATTGGTTTAAAATAAAAATACAATAAAACAGATTAATAGGAGCAACATAGGTGGAGCACCATATCGAATTGCTACAACCACAGTGATGCCAAAAGATCAAACAATGGAAGATCCAAGGGAGTCTCAATAGGATTGGAACAAGGGGCCACGATTAGTGGTGACACTCAAATTCCTTACAAAGATAAAGATTCAGGGGAAGTGGGCATAGGGGTTATGTTTTTAGTGTGATGAGAAGTTTTCCTCAGGACACAATTGCATGAATCGAACTTTACAAATTCTCACAATGTGTAACGACGAGGCAAGGGATGCAAAAACAGAGAAGTCTGTGGTGGAGGAACACTCTTACTTAGATGTGATATTAGTCTTATTGAACTCGATTGGTGGAATTAACACTGAACCACACTTTAACTTTGGGGGCAGATCTGAGAGCAGGACGTAGTTGTGTTGATAGAAAGTGGGGCCATCCACAATTTCATCTCTACTCAAATAGTGAAGCAATTGTGGCTTGAACTGGTGGACACAAATTGTGTTGGAGTCATGGTGTGGATGGGGCACATGGAGAAGAGCAGAGAAGTTTTTCAGGGAGTGATTTTAACACTGCCGGACATTTAGGTGATGAAATATTTTCTTCCTTTGGATTTAGAGAGCACCGGCGTGATATTTAGTATGAAATGATCGCAATTCGTAGGTGAGATTAGTGAATTGAAATTTTTTGACCATGGAGTTTCAGGAGGGAGAGAAGATGTGGCGCACTACAGTGACCCTTGTTTGTGCAAGGCTTTAGTGTTTGTGAATCCATTGAAGGTGGCAGATAGGTTAGAGGGGCCATTACCTAAGACCATAGAGGGGTTGAGAAGATTTATGGGACTTACAGGATACTATCGGAAATTCGTGAAGGGTTATAATTTGCTTGTGAGGCTGGGGACAAAGAAATTGATGAATGATAACTTTCAGTGGGGGAAAGTAATGACCCAAACTTTTGAGAAGTTGAAGAAAGCCATGACGAGTTTGTAAGTGCTGACAGCGAGAACCAGACCCAAGCTAGTTTATGAGCAATAGCCACACAACTTGATCAAATAACATTTTTCCCACATTGAGGACAATGTCTTTTTGGAAGGGGAGTATTGTTATGTGTGTGCCTAGCCTAAGGGAAATTTTGTGCAACCTAAGTGCAATTTAATCTTTAATTATTTATTTTTGTTTAGTACAAAGAGGGTCTTAATAGTTTAGGGTTAGTGTTATTGACCAAAGAAAAATATGTTGAGATTTTCATATTGTTGAGATTTTCATATTTTTCATATCTATTTTACACTGTTTTTAATGATATTGCACTTTAAAAAAGGGTATTTTTTATGTTTTGTTGCAGATATGATGAATTATGGTCATTAGAGTAAAAAGATACAAAAAGGTGCAATTTGGAGCAAAAACGAGCAAGAAATGAAATTTTGCCATCACCTTTCGATAAGTCTTTCGATGCTTAATCTCTTTTACACTTCTTGCATATTTTTGAATGAGATTACACTTCAAAGGAATGTTGTTTTCATACTTATTTTGTAGGACTATCTGTTAGGAACACAACGTAACTGAAATGGGACGAAACAAAACTAAAATGGAGCGAAACCGTGGAACTGCGCAGTCTGCTCGCCGACGGCGACCAAAACGGCACCGACAACGAGATTTACCGGAGAAGACCGAAAAAAGACAGAAAAGCTCACCGACGGCGCTCGGGATGACTATGGATCGACTTTTGGCGGTTTTAGGCCGAAATTCAACTCGACTGTTGGCGGTTTTAGGCCGAAATTCAACATATTTGGACGCTTTTTGAAAGGACTCATGTGACAACTCTTCAAACTTCTTCCCTATACTTTAAAAGAATTAATTTAGGTTAGAAAAATGGGGATTTTTGTGAGAGAAATGTTAGAAAATAGGAAAAGTGTGGAGAAAGTTTAGGGTTTTTAGAATAAGAGTAAAAATGTAGATTTCTACCCTTTTGGAGAGATTGGAGAGGAGATTTTGAGAGAATTTGTGAGGAGATGTTCTAGCATTGCATAGATCGGCGGGAAATTTTGTGGGAGAGATTTTCTTCTTTCTTTCAAAGGAAAAAAACTAAGTATTATATTCTTCATTATCTTTTGATTTTTGTAAACGCTTATCTAGTGGATTTGTTTTGGTTAAATGAAGTTTCCGTCGTGTTTTCTTCGTGCTTTGTGATGAGCTTCTCTTACTTTCTCTTCTTGTTTGGAAATAATGGTATGAGAAGATTATGCCGTTGTTTTCATTTTACTTTTTTTTTTTGTAATGAGTAGAATTCATGTTTAGGATTTTGTGATGCATGTTAGAAGCGGATTTAATTATCAATATGATGGTTATTACTTGCACTTTATTTACATTACAATAAAGGCCTGTTGTAGTGTTAAAGTTCGTTGTAATTGCACTAAGACCCGAGAGGGCTGTGCAATTCTCAACAAAGTAGAACCACATTCAGATTCCATGAATGATTAAGTTCATGGGAGTTGAATGCAAATAAATAGGGAAATATATTTGATGGGCGTAGAATTGGAGATTTTAGGGTGACAGACTAAAATCCCCAATTCGGTCCTATTGTTTGAGTACTGAAGCGGAGATGTTAGCCCTCAGGCGAGGGGAACGTGAGAGCTCCGAAGTGAGAGCCGGTATCCTCCCAGCCTAGCCACGGATTCAGTAAACAAGCATAGGATTAGTTAATGTTCTTTATGCCTGGACCAAAGGCTAAAGAATAAGATTGCTTCTATTTGACACATACAATATTTAATGCATGTCATTCATTTACGTTATCCGATTCATTGCATAAGAATACTAGTTTTTATTATCTCAAAATTCTTCAAACCAATTCTTCTAAAAAGGGTTATCTTTAGAATTAATATTTACATTTATGTATAGTTACTATTTTTACATTTAACACTTGCATTTAGGAGTAGTTGCTAGATAAAACATCATTTTAATCGACATTCCAAACTAAGGACTAATTGTAGTAGACTAGGATCTGACTAAGGACCTCTTACCTCGCTTCCTTGTGTGATCGATAAATGGGACTCCACTAGAGTGCTGTATTACTTGAGCGATACGTATACTTGTGTTTAAAATTGTGTATACTTGTTGACTTTACAAAATCATTATAAATATATAAATCTGGGTTCATAAATTATTGCATATTAAAAGTTGCATCAAGTTTTTGGCGCCGTTGTCAGAGATTTAAATCTTCTAGCAGCGGTATCAAATTTTTGTATTTTTAAGCATATATAAAGTCGTCGTCAGTTATGCATGAGATTGTCTTAAATCATGGGGTTAGGGTTTGGAAGAGTTTTCTGACCTCTCGAATTGTAGGAGTTTGGAGAGATCACTTACTCCTCGAATTTTAGGTGTTTAATCTTTATTTTATATGTTCGTGATTATATTATTTATTTTAAAGAAATAAAGTATTTATTTTTTTCCTAATTTCTACTGAGAATCCTATCACAAGTATGGAAGAAACAAACAACATTGCGATGTGTTATTTGGACAACATTCTCCTGCATTTCTATTATTACTAGATATAAAAAAAATATATATATATTTCAGTTCTACTGTTACACTGGACTGTCCGAACATATGCTGATTTTTCTTTTTCTGAAAGATTTACATACATACCACTAAATTTGTATTTTCTTACATGTCTAACACCTAAACTTAAATATGCATATATGCCACCTTACCTATATTTCACTTTTTAAATGTTAAAATAGCAGTATTTTTGATGTGATATGATAGATTTGGGTGGCATAAATGTAAATAGTGAATTTTTGGTGTTAGATGTGCAAATATGTAAGAGGCGAGTGGCATGTTTGTAAATGCCCCCCCTTTTTTTTCTGTAGTATGATATTTTAAGTTTGCCTTGATGCTCAGTATGGGTTTTATTTGGATATATTTCACTAGGTTATTTATGGAGACACAGATTCTGTTATGGTACAATTTGGCGTGCCTACTGTGGAAGCTGCAATGAAATTAGGAAGAGAGGCGGCAGAGTACATCAGTGGTACTTTCATAAAGGCAAGTACCTGGCAAATATTGTTATCTGGATTTGTATGTGCTTGATCTTAAAAAAGAATATTTTGAACTGTTGTCTGCGTTTACGAAGTGAAAACATGATTTTAAGCTTGCTTTTGTTTTGCTTCTCCTCCTTGCCCTGAAGTTGCCTCATGCGAAATTTTTTTTTAGGTTCGCTTTCGCTGTTTTCTGACTTACTAGGTTATTTAGTTTCCCTCAGCGACATGTTATATAATTGTTATCTACCATTGTGGTGCCGTTTAAAGTTTATTTTATAATTTCACATAATTGAACTTAGCTCCTAAAGCTTTTATGTTTTGTTAGCTTGCATGAAGTTTAAGAATTGCTGTAACTATTTTCCTTGGCCTTTAATGAAACCATTAATCTCTATTCTTGCACTGAGTATTAATTATATTGTTTGTAACTGACACTGTCCTCTTCCTCTGTTTTTTTTTTGGCACTTGTAATTATCTTGTAGCCTATCAAGCTAGAGTTTGAAAAGGTATATTATCCATACTTACTGATAAGCAAGAAGAGGTATGCAGGATTGTATTGGTCGAATCCTGATACATATGACAAAATGGATACAAAAGGTAAGAGCCGTTGCTAATAATAGAGTATGTTGTCTAGACTGATCATCTTACCATGGAATTGTGTGACCTTTTTGCATTACAGGCATTGAGACTGTTAGGAGAGACAATTGTCTGCTGGTTAAAAATCTGGTGACAGAGTGCCTCCACAAGATATTGATTGACAGAGATGTTTCTGGTGCTGTACAGTATGTCAAGAACACTGTTTCTGATCTTTTAATGGGCCGAGTGGATCTTTCTCTTTTGGTCATAACAAAGGTGAGAAAATGAGGAGAGCTGCTCTTGGATAGAAATTAAGTTGCAGCCTGTTTGTTGGGCTTGGGTTCTTCAGAATTCATTTGTGTTGAATCTTCTTTGTATTACTTATGCTCAATTGACCGGTTCCTCTTATTGCACAGGGTCTGACAAAAACTGGTGATGATTATGCCGTGAAAGCTGCTCATGTTGAACTTGCAGAACGTATGCGAAAAGTATGGATCTCACTGCAACATATATATTCATCTTTTTCTCATAAAAAGACAAAATAGAATGTAAAAAACATCATGTGCAAAATCTGCCTATACATATTTAATTTGTTCTCTGCTACTGCATTGGTCAGCAATAATCAGCTTGGCTAATGACAACAATCTGCTTTAGTTTTCAAGGACAAGGCAATCAAGAATATAATTAAATAGCAAGCTTATATGCTCTATGATGATGGATATAGCACCACTGAATGCCTCAGGGGAAATCAGCTTTTGATTAACAGCATCACTATACTTTATTTATCAAGGAAAATATGATCAAGAGTAGAATTAAATGTTGAGCTGACATATACTATGATGGTGGGTGAATTACTCTCATGTAAGAGATTGTGTTAATTTTGAAGATGTGAAAATCATTTTCATCTTATGAAAGGGCTTAGTTTGATTAGTTAAGAAAATTTGATTTTGTTTGTAGAAAGCAGGGATTAAAATGCCTGTGCATGTCCTTCTTGGTGCTAGACTTGTTTGTCGGTAGCTCAGTATATCTAGTTTTGTCCCCCAAACTGTATGCTGGCATTGATGTTTGTTTGTAGAGAAAAAAAAGAATATGTTTGTAGAGAAAAAAAAGAATTTTTTTTTTTTTTTGCTTTTATTAGATTGATTTTCAACCCCTTTCACTTGTGACTTAAACCAATAAATAGTTCAGATGAAGCTGAGCTTGGTACTACCTCAATCAATGACTTATCAACCTGGTTAAGATCATGCTAACATATCTCAGAATGAGATTATGTAGCAAGATCCTATCGGTATTTGCATCTGTTAGGTCATGACTTGGGCTCTGGGTTTCTAACCCCTTGTTTGACACACAGTCATTGTTTGAAACAATTATAAGTTTCATTTTCTAAGCATATATATTTTTTGCTTGCCCTTTTAAAAATGATGAGTTTACTTGAGACTTGAGATTCCAAGTCAAATTTTCACAAGGCCAATGAAATGGTAGATTCGACACTGTTTTGAGATTTCATTCTCATTTTGTGAGTATTTTTAAATTTTGAGGTTTGAGATTTCCCATAGGCACAAACTCTTTACTTTAATTATCTGCTCCCCTTGATAATAGGAGAACACTTTTGATTAAGGCTAATCATTAGACACTGATTGCTCAAGATGTAGTAGCAGTAATTTGGATTTAGATTATGTTGGAAGTTAATTATTTTTTCTACCTTAAGCTTATAATGGATGGTGGGGGAAATGATACGCACCCCTTTAACGGTCACCTGTTGTGCGATTGAGACCGACTATTTGGCAGACTAAATTCTCACTAACACTCGTTCTGCTTGTTGAATCAAGACTAGTGGGTCATGAACTAGTTCACTAAATTACCACAAACTTGATACATTTTACATCATACATCATTCAAATTTACATAAATTTACAAGCGTGAAAATTTTATCATCAAAATATATATACATTGATATAGACGTGTTAAATTCAACATAATAAAAGTAAGTATTGCAAAGTCTGGAAAAGCTCCTAAAATCATAATGCAAAAGTTATGCAAGTCACTTCTGGCTGCTCGCCTCGGTGCTCTTACTCTTTCCTGAAAGTCAACAATGTAGAGTGAGTCACAACAAACTCATCAAAATAATCAATATTAAAATAAAATTTTATAGGCAGAAAAGAAACAACATGCATGCTTATATGTAACTCATGTGCATGTTCATAACACATTTTCATATCATGTTATAATCATATAAAATATGCAAAAGAAAAAACATGTAATGAAGAGGATCATGACTGCTATATAAAACATGTATTTCATCAAATCATGTGTAATTATAAACATATTCATAAGAGTTATCATTCTAATTACAGGAATATCACTTGTAATTGTATAGACCTCAACTATTTCCAATTCTTGTCATGTCCTAGGTCGTTACTCAGTATGAAGGCTATATTAACTATTGATAAATGTTGGACACCTTTTAACATAGCAGTTATCAATAGCCCTCTAGTACCAACGGTTCTCTACATTTTGTCCTCGTTTGATTGCAATGGTTTCCAGAGTTTTTTCTCCGTCTAAATACCAGAAGTCGGGAATCCCATCATTTTCTATTATTCACACTTGTAAATATTCATGTAATAGTTTACTTATAACATCACTTGTGATATTTTCTAAATCATGATTCCTGCAACAAATATTCATCATAGGTATTTCATATGTCATATGCATGAATTCTAGTTAATGAATATTTGCTAGTAATGATTTCATAAGTATATTCATCAGATTCATAATATTGTAAAATTATATATCGTAAGTGACGATTTAAGTTTGCATTCATACAGTCTATATATGTTCATCTACAATATGTAGAAAATTCAAGATTTAATAGTGTCAAACACATAATCATATAAAAATCTATAGTTATTTTTCTTAAGTTAACTTAGAATTATTTCACTCGAATTGACGGAGTAACCCTACAATGAGCTTCTTCACGCTTGCCTCAAGCTTGCCGCCTAGTATAAATAACCTAAAGTTCATAAATCTCTTAGAATATTCATAAATTTTTGTCTCACATCTTAATTTATCCTACATATAAATATCAATATTTACCTTGAAATGGTTTCCATGCATGAATTCTTCTTACAAATTACTTCAAATCCTCTCTTCTTCCACTCTAACCTCTTCTCCTTCCCTTTACTTGTTGATTTCCTACTAATTACCCATATGGAACCCTCAAAACAAGTTCGTCGTCTTCGACACAAGCTCGCCTCCTGCTAGAGCGATAAAAAACGTAATGTTCACTGATTCATGGCAAACATCAAAATAGAAAAACATAAGGAAAGAAATAATGTTCAAAATATTATAAAAATTGAGTTTCTTCTTACCAAAATCTTCCTGGAACTTCTAGTTATGAGTCGTGGCTCTCTTCTCAACCGTTCACCCTGTTTGCTGTAGTAGCTGGGTCACAGCACCTTTCAACCAAGCAAAAACGAACATGAGGGGAAGTGTGCCATATGAACGTGATCTCAATTAATCCCCTTCGTTTGATCGAATCCAGTTGTTGCATGCGCACAAATTACTGCAAAAATATATATATATATTTGTGGTACTGTAGATGCTCTACAGTACCACAAAAATATGCATTACGAGAGGCATGCCAAAATAATCCCGTTTTTTCTTTCATATGCTCTATTTCCTATTATCCTTAACTCCGTTGTAGTATTTTTTTATATTTGTGTTGTATTAGTGTTTGAAAGTTAGTTTTTTGTGTGTTTGGTATCGGGACAGCCGCCAAATCTCTTCTTTTCTTCGAGAGTTGTGCCCTAGGGGTTCCAAGTGATAATTTTCTTGTATCTTAGATTTCAGGTGGTGATTTATCCTTCTTCCATCGCACCCAACCGCTTCATGTCGTCCTTCCTTGCTGCATCTACCCCCAGGACAACAACATTTTGCTGCTTTTCACTACTGTCTTCCCATTGTCAATTTTGTTGTTTAAAAATAGGAGTAAAATTTAGTGAAAAAAGAAATGTGCTAGAACTATTTGCGAACAAAGAATCAAACACGAGCTTCTTAACAAACGAAACGAACATAAGCTTCTTAACAAACTATTCGTGAACAACTTACCGCAAAATTTATATGTTCTTTCACTATACAAAAAATTGTTTGTGTTGGGTTCGTTAACTTAGCTAACGAATCGAACACGAGTTTTTTAACGAGCCAAATACAAACTATTCGCAAACAACGAGCCATTTTGACAGCCCTATAGACAATCAGAGAACCAAAATGGCGTGATATGTGGTAACTGGTAATTTACCTCATCAAATGCTCACAACCAAAATGTAAAATTTTGTGGATTTTACCGCTAAAGTGTTAGAACTCAGAATTAGTAAGGAAGAAATTAGTGTTTCCAAGCCAGAAAAGGAGAGTATTACATGAAAAGCATGAGAGTGAGAACAATGAAAAAAAATACACGGTTATGAATTACGAGTTTCCAAACCCTAAACCCTGGAAAAATATTGATCCCTATGATCACTATGAGATTCCAAAATAGAAGGAAAAAAAAAACGCCGTGATCACTCTTAAATTCCTATGAGTTTTCAAACCCTAGATCCTAGAACACGGTTGATCACTATGCTCGGTGTGAGTTATCAAAGCAGAAGGATAAAAATCACAGTTGGTAAGTTCCAAACTAAAAAATACATGAAAACATATGGTCATGTGAAAACAATGAAAACTGTAAATGATGAGAAGTTTCCAAACCAGAAAGGCAGAACTACAGTGAAAAATAAAGAAACTCAATTGATCATGGTTTTGAGTTACCAAACCGGAAAACACAGAAAAAATGACGAAGAGAAAAAAGATTTACTTGTGTTCGGCTAGCCCAAACCTTAAATGGCTATAAGTTTCCAAACCAGAAAAACAAAAAATCGTTAGTCACTATGGTTTAGAAAGACAAAAAATTGATGATCACTGTGGTCAATGAACATTATTAGTTTTGAAACCAGAAAGACAACCTAGTTGAAAACTGTCATGAGTTGCCAAGCCAAAAATACCAAATATACATGAGTGAGAACAAGGTTCTGCTTGTATTCGACTAGTTTAAAATCATAGAGATAGAGATTGATAGGAACAAACGACTGTTTGACCTAGCCCAAAGCTTTTACGGGACACAACTTCTGAGAATATTGGCACAAGAGATGGTAGTAGCAACTTGCTACTATTGGCACAAGAGATGGTAGTAGCAACTTGCTACCTATTCCTAGTGAACTGTGAATGCAAGGAGCACCACCCACAATACTACCAGAGGCAGAGTAAGCGAACGAGAAACAAAGAGCTAAATAGGCCACACACATTGGGAAGTGGGAACTTGCAACAAACAGGGGCACATCAGCACCTTGCCAGAGGCATGAGACGAGGTTGGAGGCATCTGACGATGATTGATCTAGGGATTTCAATACTAGGGTGAGAGCCAAGAGAAGCGGGAAAGACAAAAGGAATTTTGGAAATGGGATAAGGTTTCTGGGGTAGGTATTCGGCTTAGAGTTAATGCAAACACCATCCACAATAAATCTACACTGTTAGATCTATATCATGATTATGTGATTGTGAGTTGCTCGAGCTGATCCGACTTCGGATCAAAATCGTCTCGAAATGAATTTGAGTTTTTGGATTTGGCTCATAGCTCAACTCATTTGTTCGAGTTGATTTTGTTTCGGGCTAAAATTTGATTTGATTTTCGAGCTAATTTCATAGCTCTACTAGGGATCAAGACAACTCTGGATGATTGAACCATGAAATCTTGATTGTGTTCATCATTGGTCCAACTAACCACTCTAAGCTTAAGGTGGTAAAATTCACTAGCTTACAGCATAATCTAAATGTTAATTGCCGCTATTATTTGTTAAACAATCAATTTCTAATGACTAAACTTAGTCTAAAGCGCTTTCCTGTTAATCATAGGGGCTTGCACGTATGGGAAACCTCAAACCCCATATCTTAAAAGTCATTGCAAAATGAAAGTGAAACCTCTGGGTAATGTCTTATCTAATATCTCATCCGTCTTTTTGCAAATTTGAATAGGAACCTCTAGTAAACTCTGATCATTTTTGAAAGGGTCAGGGCATAGAATTTTCATAGCACAGAATTTTGGTGAGTCTGTTGATGACGATCCGTTGTGGTCCGTCGCACACGTGGAAATCCAAACATATCAAAAGAGGCATATAAGAATAATTATGGGGCGCATTTTGATCGCTTTAGTAAAAATCCTTTGACCTTAAGAATTAGAACTTTGATTGCAGAAATTGTATTCTCGTTGTCTGATTTGTTCTTTTCTTCTTCAGTCACTCCCCATCAGCATGCATGCTGCTAGAAAATGGGATGGTAATTTGTGCTCGTCCTGGTTTGTGTGAGTTTTTTTGATGATTGGCCTTAGCTTAAGGAAAACTCACATAAACTAACATAGAGCTCTATGAAGGCCATCCTGACAAGTTTGAAACAGATTCATCTTCTTTCATGACTTGCACATGACATGAACTTGAACATGAACATGACTGGTGCTATTTTCTGTGTTCAAAATGGTTGCTTTGTTTGTCCTGTAATTCTCATTTGTCTACAAATTTTTGACTAATTCAAACTTTGTAAAGTCCAGTTGTTTGACTGACCTTGTGCGATAATTTTTGCTGGATCTTTTAGCGTGATGCTGCTACAGCTCCAAATGTGGGAGATCGGGTTCCTTATGTTATTATTAAAGCTGCCAAAGGTGCCAAGGTAAATGTTTTTGTTTTTCACAATGCAGATAATTAGTTGAGAAGTTGAATTGATGATTCTTCATGTTTTGATGGCTAGGCATATGAAAGGTCAGAAGATCCTATTTATGTGCTAGAGAATAATATTCCCATTGATTCTCAGTATTATCTTGAAAACCAACTTCAGAAGGTGAATTTACAAGCGACTATTTATATATATTACTTTCCTGTTGCCAGCCATCACAAAGTTGATATGTTCACAGCCACTTCTGAGGATATTTGAACCTATGCTTAAGAATGCCCAGCAAGAGCTTTTCAAAGGAAAACATACAAGAAACTTGAAGAATTCAACACCTTCAAACAGCGGAATAATGAAATTTGCGAAGAAACAGCTTAGCTGCCTTGGATGCAAAGCTTTAATCAGGTAAGATGATTCATAGAATGGATATTTAGACGTTTTTTTGTGTTTTTTTTTTGCTTTTTAAACCTGTTTGTTGAGTGTATTTTTTATGTGCTTTTATTTTTTTTTTAAATTAACCCATTTTTAAAAACACACAACATCTAAAATCTGTTTTGAGCCCTTTTTTATAAACAACTAAACATTATTAAAACAAACATGTTTTATTAAAATAAAAAAAAAATCAAATGAGATCCCAAGCCATCCCTTTATTCTATGAATGCATGTTATGGTGCAACTTGCTTCATTTCGCTTCTCAATCTGGAGAGCAAACATTTAGCTTAGCTCATTTATGGACATTTCTAAATGATGAGCAAAAACCTAAGTTGAATAATGCAATTTAAGTTTACAAATCTGGATCAGAAAAAAACACTTCTATGGTGCCTGACATCGGTTTCCAAATTTTCTGCAAATTTGTTTGTGTTTAATCAGTTGAATGACATATATATATTTTTAATCTCTAGTGATTCAGATCGAACACTTTGTGGACATTGCAAAAGCAGGGAAGCGGAATTGTACTGCAAGACCGTAGCAAATGGTATAATCCTGAATCTCGAAAAAGTTCAAATAAGCGAATTATGTTTTCTGGGAATCTACACAAACAAACCCCATTCAATTTTTAGACTGCCACATTTTTGGCTTAGTTTCATTCGACACTCATTCTGTTTCGATTGAGAAAGCGTTTTTGTTTAGCTTAGATCTACTTAGTTGTTACACAAGCTTAATAGGCCCTCATTAAATATTTTAGTTGCTGAGATGGAGGCGCTTTTTGGGAGGCTTTGGACACAATGTCAAGAATGTCAAGGTTCGCTTCACCAGGATGTTTTGTGTACAAGGTAAGTTATAGATTCACCTTCTTAAAAAACTTGATATTAGTCTGTTTTTATTATGGGGCATTTGCATAAATACTACCCATTTCCGATGTATTTACATATCTAACGCCTAAATTTTTGCTTTTTTACCTTCAAACCCACCCAAATCTTTCATATCATACCAAAGTACCACCATTGTAACTTTTAAAAGGGAAATTACACCTTTTCAATGATTGAAGTTTAGGTGTTAAAGGTGTTAAATATGTTAATACATAGGAATTGAGTGGTATGTATGTAAATTTTCCTTTTATTATATACAGTTCTGTCAGTCAGTGATTTGATTGGTTTTATGTTTTGAAAACTTAGTCGAGATTGTCCGATCTTTTATCGGAGAAAGAAAGCACAGAAAGATATGGCGGAGGCGATGATGCAATTGGATCGATGGGACTTTTGAGTCTCACATTGTGATCAAATTTGCTCAACATTCTGATCCTCTGCTATTTTTTCCCTTCTGCTTCATGCATATGCTGGACTTGAAGTTTGCCTTGTGATCCGCGCACACGACGACCGTTCGGCCAATACCTGGCAGCACAACTAAGAGCAGGCATGGCCGATCGATCACAGTATCTCGCACGAATTGTAAGTTACATCCAGTTCAACATGGTGTTTCAGCTTCTGATGAAGACTTCCAGAAATGAATTTTTTGGGGAAGAATGTGGACTTTAAGTTCTCCTGAAGGTTGGCCATTAGACTTTGTCATCTGAATTTTTTTTTTGTTTTATGTATTTATGTTGTAAGATAGGATTTAGATGAATGAGTTTAAACTTATAGCGGGTCAAATGTTCTTAGATTTGATCAACTAATTGGATGTACACTCTTCTTTGTTCTCTATATTGTCTATTTTCCGTTAGGGCCATTTGCATACATACCACCCCATTCCGATTTATTTACATATCTAGCACCTTAACATTGCTTTTTTTACATCTATAACAATCAAAGTATTAATATCATATAAAAAAATATGATTAATTTAACATCTTTTCATGTGTAGTTAAGATGTCATCTATGTAAAAATAAAAATTTAGGTGTAAATTGTTGGGGGTTTTTTCAATACCCATTCGAATTTTCAAATTAATTTCAATACCCATTGGAATTCCCAAATTAATTTAATACCCATTGAAATTCTCAAATTAATTTTAATACACATTAGAATTCCCAAATTAATTTCAATATCTATTGGAATTCTCAAATTAATTAAAATTTTGTTTTAATTTTAATAACCGTTGGAATTTTTTGATGTTTTTAAGAGAAATAAATTTTAGAATGTGGTCCATATAGTGTCTAAATTTAATACAAGAATTTAGTAACATTTTATATTGTGCTCACATCTATTGAATTCTATGATGGACATAACATTATAAATTAGATGTGATGTTTGCTGTTTTGGTCCCTAAGCTTGCTCCTCTTCATTTTATTTGCATCATCGGGTTGTGGGTGAGAAAAGCTTAGAAGATTTATAATAGAAAATTTGTCGTGTGAGTTGTGAGTGTCGACTCTGTTCGTACAAATTATGACTGGAGGTATGTATGATTCTATCTCGCTCCCGCTTATCGATTCAAATATGTTTGTAGATCGAATATGATATTTAGATATTTCATAAATATGTAAATATATTATGTAAATCTTCCTTTTCATTAACATCAATTTACATCATGTTTAACTTGCAAAGTTGAGATGGGTGAGAAAGATCTCCCTCATACTGCCGTTTATGACATGCTGCTCCATTTTTAACAAAATTAGAAGCCGCGTCTCCGCAACAACATTAACACCTTGCTTTGAAAATTCCACGATATTTGCCTTCAAATTAGGTGTTGCATCTCATTCTTTTGCAATTTATAGATTGTTTGGATAAAATTGGAAAATCTTAATTGAATAGAGCAAAGTTTCTTTTGGTTGATTTGATTTTGTTTTGATATGATAATTTGATTTTTGGTTTTAAGAAATTTAACATTCAGATTTGTATTTTTGAATTAGTTTTGAGTGTTTATTAAATCAAATAAATAGAAAAATTCAATTAATATTAGAATTATGAAATTAATTTTACCTGAAAATAAAATAAATTATGTAACCAGTTTACTATTATGAAGTTTTTTATTTTTTAAAAGATGGCAAGTAAATAAGAAAAATAAAAATAAAAATTTTAAATTCTGAAATAGAACCGTCAATTTTGATAATTTCAAGTTAAATGTTAATGTTTGGTTTTGTTAAAATTAAAATAATTAAATTGAATTATATTTTAGTTTAATTTGAATTGGTTTTTAAAAAAATTTGAACAGACCAAATTTTAATTTAAAAATTCAAAGTTTTCTATATATATAAAAAACTTTGAA